TGACCTTCTGCAGAAGGGGAATGGATGAGCACCAATTTCTCCCCCAATCCTTCCCCACCAAGACCAATTTCTTGAAATGCTCAATCACTGGAGAATGTAATCCTAGACTTTCTTCCAAGCAGAGACTCAGCCACTGGAAATTCCTTTCAAGATGTAGAAACACTCACTCGTCTGTTCTTTCATTCAGCAGAAAGTGCTGAGTGACTGCTCTGGGCCAAACGCTGCTGGACCTTCTGAGAACTCACAGTCTAGCAGGAAAGATGGTAGACCCTGCAACTCACTGAAGAATCACCTATGCAGTGTAAGGGGGCCCAGGCAGAGCGTCATTAACCCTATCTTAGGGGTCAGGGAAGGCTTCACAGATGAGGGGACATCTGGATTTCCTCTTTCCCTTAACCCAAGGCAATGTTTAATTTGACTATTAAAAAAAATACCTCATTTAAATTCTTTATTATAAAAGTAACATATGCTTTTTCATAAAGGGTAATCAAAACAATCAAAGTGTGTAAAATAGAAAGTGCAAGCATCTCTGCATGGTTAGAGCTTGATCCATGGCATTTTAGATTTTTCCTATCTATATGTACATATTATAATTTTTAAAATGATTCATGCTGTACATATTGCTCTACAACTTGAGTGTTTTCCCCCCATTTGGCAATATTTTGTGGACATCTTTTCATGTGAGTTCATAGAGTACTGCCACATTCTTTCTAGCAGCCATGCAGTAATTCATTATGAGGATGTACTGTAGTATACTTTACTTAATAGGCCCCCATTCATGGACACCTGGATGGTCTTTCAAAGGGTGAATAGATGTTCACAAGCAGGACAGGAAGGCACAGCTCTGTCTGAGTTGTCAGCATGTGTATGGGCTGGAGAGTGGTATATGCTTCTAGATAGCAGTTCAGCGTATCAGTCACGTATAACATTAAGTGGGGCCAAGGGAGGTGAGACCAGTTGAGAAAAGCCTCACAGATTGCTCTGAGGAGTTGGGATTGTTTTCTGCAGGTAGTGATGGCCAAGGGTAGGGGCATTGAAGGATTTTGATGGAGGAATCAAAGTGATCAGGTTTGTATTTTCCCAAGATTACTGAAACAGCTATGGGTGGATAGCATTGAGGGGAAAGTGAAGACAGAGAACCCATCTAGAAATCTCCTCTGTGAATCTGGGCCAGAGAGGATGAATGGAGCTGAACAACGCAGGGCCAAGGTCATGGACACTGAGAGGAGAGGGAAGATTCAGAAAATATTTGGGGTGTTGATAAGATGTGGAGAATGGTTATGGGAAGGGAAGAAGTGTGAAATCTGACATCCGAATCTGGCCTAGCAGACTGGTTGGCTGACGCTGCAGTGACCAAGATGGGGCAGAGGAAAAGGAGGGGAGCTTTAGAGAGAACCTGATGAATTTTGGACTCTCTTCCTTTGTTTTCTGTCTGCCTCCTATGATGCCTGATTAAAAGAGGAAGGCTTCCTCATTGACATTTCCATCACTCCCAAATTATGTCTGAGGAACCCCGAGGTTAATGATCTGACCAGCACCCCCAGGAGTACTAAGGGCAAGATCAGTTTTAGATATATGTCTATGGGTTATTTCAGCCTTAGATTTTCTTCCCTCACTTTTATTTTAAGGACAAATGCCATCACCAGCTACCAGATGTGCGTATACTTGAAGTTTCAAAGTTTGAAGTGCTGACAAAAGCTTCTCCATGTTGCGGGCTGAGGAGAGGTCTTCAGAAGTCTTGGCCTACATGGTCACAGGGGCACCAAGAGCCCAGGACCTCTTGGCTGGGTTCAGACCAGCTGGGGAGGGCAGGAAGGCACACACTCGTATTTGCTCAGCTACAATCAGCAACTACCTCTTTGTGTAAAATGGTAATGAGGCCATTAGGAGAGGCTCACCTGAAGTGCAGCGTTGTGCATCTGAGGTAATTAAACACCTCCCGAATGCGAGGGAAAGGCCAGGGCAGGTTAAGTGAGGAATAATCTGCCGCACAGGTGGCCCAAGGCCTTTGAGGAGCCAGAAGAAGAGCGACAGTGGCTCACACCATTTCAAAGGATAGAGATGTCATCCTAGTCCCTGGGAGGGGCAGGATTTTTATTATTTGGGGAGCTGGAAAGTGGGCAATATTTTTAACATTTTAATAAAGCATGTTTCTTTTTCATATTGCTGTTTCAAGTAGAAAGTCCATGGCAGAGTCTGTCCCTGTGCCAGGTGGTCACTGCTCCTCATGAGCTCCCACCATTGTGGCACTGGGGCTCATGTGTCCCAGAAGAGAGGAGGTGACAATAAACCAGATATTTACATCTAGGTGTTGAGACAGACTCCAAATGCTTTCGTAGGAAAACCGTTTTCCTTTTCCGCCCTCTGAGCAGAGATGGGATAGTCACCCCCTCAATGCCTGTTGTCATTACTTATGTCAGAGAGGCCATCAGCCCTACCTTCACTCAGTTCATGCCCCTTTAGCAACAGCACAGGATTTTTCCCATCTACTCAATAAATACTTATTTATGGCTTGCTGTGTGCTAAGCACTGTGATCCATGATTTGACGTGTCCTTTCAGCTTGTCTTTATCCTGTAAGATCTGGCAACAGAGGATTTTTGCCATTCATTTTCTTATCTCAAAATCTCTGCTGTCTCCACACAAAAGTTGGTACATGAATGTTCATAATGGCGTTATTCATAATAGCCATAAAATGGAAACAACACAGATGCCCACCAACTGATGAGTAGATAAAATATGATATATCCACATAATGGAATAATATTCAGTCATGAAAAAGAAGAGCACATGATAAGTGCTTCAACATGGGTGAAACTTGTTCATGATGTGCGTTATGCTGAGTGGAAGAAGCCAGTGACAAAAGACCACATATCGTGTGATTCCATTTATATGAAATGTCCGGAACAGGCAAATGCATAGAGACAGAAAGTGAATTAATGGTTACCTAGGACGGGGGTGAGGGAGGAGGGGAGGAGTATTGGTTGGGAATGAGAAGTGACTGCCAATAAAATGGGGTTTCTTTTTGGGGTGATGAAAATGTTCTGGAATAAGATAATAGTGATAGTTGTACGACCCTGTCACTATACTAAAAACCACTGAACTGTACACGTGAAATGAATGAATTTTGTAATTATGTAAAATGTATCTTAATAAGCTGTAAAAAAAAATCCCATATCAGAAGCTTAGCAATAAAAAATAATGTCCATGGAGCATTTGTAAAGTGTATGTAGTCCATCCTAGATCAGTGATTCTTAATGTATTTTAGGTTCACAGGCACCTTTAGGAATCTGAGGAAAGCTATGGAGCCTGTGCTCAGAAAAGTGATCATCACTCATTCGTCTTAAAAATTCATGGATGGTTTCTGGGCCACTTGAATCTAATTTTCTGTTTTATCCTTAAATAATGTCAGGCCATTAGATAGTCCTGTGTCCAAGCCCCTTCCAGATTCCTGAAAAGTGCTCTCGATCTGTCACCTGCATGCTTAGAAACAGTCATAGCTTCACATTTCTCTCAAAAGGACGGAGAAAATTCCTTGGTGTACTCACATCTTTTCTGATCCTTTCCTTTCTCTCTAGCCTCATTGTGAGCCGTATTCCCCCTCATTCTCTCCACTTGAAGCCACAGATATTTCTATTCTCTGAACTCCTTCTCACCACAGGGTCTTTTCAAATGCTGTTCCCTGTGCTTGGTACACTGTTCCCTCCCCTCTTTGCTGAGTTAACTACTTCAACTCATCCTTCAGATCTCAGACCAAGCCTGTTTGCCTCCAGGAAGCCTTCCTTGACCTCCTTGGTGAGCTCTGTTACAGGCTCGTCACAGTAGCAACATCACAGTATTGGTATTTTCCTCACTAGAATGAAAGCCTAATGAGAGCAGGGCCCATGTCTGGTTTTGCTCACTGTTGTATCCTCAACACTTAGCGTAGTCCTGGGCACTCAGCAAATAATCAGTATTTGTTGAGTAAATTAATGATTCAAGACTATCTCATTGCACAATTTCAGGGGCCCTTTTCACATGGAACACAGCATGAATGGAATGCCCAGAAGTTGTGCAATATGGCATCCTGAGATGAATGAAGGCCGTATTAAAAACAGACTAGGAAACTTGATATTGTCTCTGATGTTGAAGGCAACAACCATTGTATCAGAGTCATTCCTACATTGAGGACTCATAGGAAAAATCTCGTTTAGTTCTCACTTTAAGGAAAATCTGTGTTCATTTTTCCAACTGGTTTGTTTGTAATACACAGACTCAAGAAATCTCACAATTTCTCATGTTTCCGTTTTTGCTTTGACCACTAGGAGGCTCATTAGTCAAATTTACAGTCCATTTCTAGCCATTATGTAAGACCTTATGGCTTACCTTTATATATTAAATCTGTTCCTGGCTACTTCTTTTCCTATTGCCATGACTTTCTTGTCTATTTTGTTTTAACCATTGAGTGTGTACCTATAAGCTGCCACTATTCCTCTGGAGTATGAGATGTGAAGTTCATAACAATATATACTATAGGTTATTAATAAGCTATTTCTAATATTTGTAAGTAATTTGAAGAGGGAATGGAGTTGGAACTAAAAATCTTTGTGTAGTTTGGGCTCGGATTACAAGACTTCAATTCATATTCCAACTTGGGCCAATTCTTAGGTTTGTTCCAGGTGTGTAATCCAACCTCTTCTGAGACTGTTTGACCCTTGTAATCCCCTCCTCCCGGGATTGTTGAAAGAATTAAATTAGAAAATTTACGTGAAAGCACTTACCTGGCACATTGTAACTGCTTAGAAAGTGGTTTTGTTTTTGTTTTTATTAGATATGCTCTAACAGGAACAACATTTTTTAAATTTCAAAAACCTGCCTGAATACCGAATGCATTTTTGTTGTCCCAGAAGCTGAGGTATCAAGTCAATCCCCTTCCCAGGGATTTTCTAGAACTCTTGTATTGAGCTTGCCAGCCATCCTCCTCCCCCACCCTCAGCGTGTGTCTCCCTTCTCTCTGTCACAGATCTCCTCGCTGAAGAACAGGCTGAAGAAGGTCTCCACGACTACTGGCGATGGTGTGGCCAGAGCCTTCCTCAAGGCCCAAGCAGCTTTCTTTGGCAGCTACCGAAACGCTCTGAAAATTGAGCCGGTGAGTAGCTTCTTGGCAGGTTTGAACCCCTTTGGTCAGGGCTGAGAAACATACCTCAGAGGCCACAACAAACCCGCAATTCATCTGGTTGTTGAATTCACTGGGAGGAGGGTGTGTGTGTGCTGAGGAGCCTTGCCCTACCTCAGCAAGGAAGCTGTGCTGCCATGATGAAGCTCTCACTGCTCCTGTGAGCGTTAAGATCCCCCCTCTCCGGACAGTGGCACTGACTGTGTGTTAATACAGTGCCCCGCCCTTCACACACACCTGCTCTCACTGAGGCTTCACAGCAAGCCTGTGAGGTAGTGAAGAGCATCTCCACTTTACAAATGAGGAAACTGAGGCTCAGAGAATAGACATGACTTGCTAAGCAGTGGAGGAGCCAGATGGTCTCAAAGCCCGTGATTTCCCACCATGCCTTATCACTCTTTTCCCATAAAGGGACCTCTTCCCCACACTTGAGAAAGCAAAGCACCCTGGGGATTCACTTCTTAGAGTCTCCCAAAGTGGTCTTGGTGTAAATGACTACAAAGCACACCGAGGACTTAGAAATAATGTCCGCCTCCAGGGCCCTTCAACCTTTCTGAGCCTCAGTTGCCTCATCTGTACGCCTGCTTGCCCATTGAGGTGATTAGTTGTTGTGAGGATTTGAAGACATCAGGTCTGTCCTAAAACCAAGAAAGGACCAACTCTGCCAGCTTCACTGAGATGCTTCCATCTGACACCCCTCTGCTCAGCCTACTCTTAGCCTCTCTGCCAAAGAGAATGCAGAAATCAGCCTGGGGACCTGGGCCTCTGTACAGGAGAGGAGGTTCGGGTGAAACCTTGCTGACAGCCCTTTTCTGTCTGGAGCACAGAGCTCCCCCTTGATCCTGAGCAGGCAGGTGATAGCCACACCCAGCCTAGTCGGCGTAGAGTGCCAGGGACCAGCATAGGTTGCATTGCCTATAGGCTAGCAATGTTTATTTCTGTTTTTGTTTTAACCCACAGCATTTTATTATATTAAATGACAAAAGATGAGTGGATATCAGGCAGTGCGTTTCATGTGCAAACCCTGACAGTGAATCTTAGTCACACTTCCTCATAAGCCACTGTTGCATATTCTTAAATGACTCCATCATGTGTGGAAGGGAAACACAGAGTAACAGCAAACACCTTGCTTCCCTCCACCAAAGACATACTCTCTCTGAAGTGGCCGGGGCAGTGGGTACTCAGGGAGCAGCAGCCTAATGGCACTATCCTCCTTATTCTTTGTCTTCCATTCAGCACTTAGGCCTGGCTTTCTAGGATGCCTCGGCTTCGGGCAATGTCATGGTCACACAACAGAAGGGGTGTACTCTCTTTTTACTTCCTAAATACTTCCTTTAGGTCCTCTAAAGCCCTTCAGCTTAAAACAAGGTCCCCATGTCCTGTTTGTGTTAAGGGCTGGCATAATTCAAGGAAAATACTGATGTCTTCCCACCTCTGAAATGAGAACGGGACAACTGGCCTAGACCTTTCCTTGGGTTGCCAAGAACTGACAGACATGAAGTATTTCCACCCTTGCAATGGTCTCATTGTTGTCATGTATATGCCAGAATACAGAGGCTCCTGAATCTTGGTCTCTGTCGCTGGGCGTATGATCTGGGCACAAGTTGCTCCTCCAAAGAAGTTTATGGTTGTACTTGCACTGAAAGGCACTGGATTTAAGGTTGGAAGCCCTGGAGTTTAAAGCCTGACTCTGTACTTCTAAGCCATATGACCTTGAGCAAGCCACTTAACCTCTTTAAACTTTGATTTCTTCACCTGTGAGATGAGGATAAGAATACCTATCATTCTACATCTCCAAATGGTTATAAGGATCAAATGAGCCATAAATTGTTTCATAGTAGAGGTGAAACTTGACCTGGGGTCTAATGGGTAAGGTTTGGAAAAAGAAAGACAGAATCATTCCTTCTTGTAGTGGGTGTGGAGTTAACTGAGTGAGCAAAGGCTTGGAAGCAGGACCTTTCATGGCCACTTTGTCTGGAGTCATGAGTTTGAGTGGGAGATGGGGCTGCAGGAGAAGTTGGAGCCAAATTTGACAGAGCCTTGGAATGTCAAGCTAGGATTGTGAACTTTACCCTGTAGGGAATTTAAGTTTCTGAGCAAAGATGTGATGTGATTGAAGTCATGTTTGAGCAGAAATGCAGTGATGGACTGAGAGGGAAGCTGAAGGCAGAGAGACCTGTTAGGGGAACTCAGAAGAGAGCCCTCCGGTGGTTACGCCAGGAAAAGTTTCCATGAAGAAGAAATCCTAGTCTCAGTAATGGATAAAATGAGAGACAAGGGGCAAAGAATGTCAAAATGTCTCCCAAGATATGGAAGCTGGAAGAGGATGATGATGAAACACACAATAGAAAAAGGGAACTCTTAATGCTAAGGTCTTCCCAGTGGCAGTATTTATCATGGTAAAAAATTGCAACAGACTAAGTGTCTATAATAGGCAACTGGTTAAGTAAATTAAAGTACATCATATGATGGAATATTATGTAGCCATTAAAAGTATCATTTTATGAGGGTGGCCAGGTGGCATAGTGGTTAAGTTCACACACTCCACTTCGGTGGCCTGGGGTTTGCAGGTTCAGATCCTGGGCACAGCCACTGTTCATCAAGCCACACTGTGGCGGTGTCCCACATAAAATAGAGGAAGATCAGTACAGATGTTAGCTCAGCAACAATCTTCCTCAAGCAAAAAGAAGAAGATTGGCAGTAGATGTTAGCATTAGCTCACGGCCAATCTTCCTCACAAAACAAAGTATCAATTTGAGGATAGGATGATGGATTTGGTTCTAACATTGTGCATTTCATTGAATCTAAGCTGCCATTCAATCGTAAGATGTACTATTATTTTATGTACCATTAAGAAAGAGTGCTGCCAATTATAATTGAAGGATGCCATCAATTGTAAGACATATCCAGAGTTCAGAGGTTTTAGAATGTGAAGAAATTTGTGTCTTAGAGTCAACAAAATATGGCAGATCTGTTGTGCTTTCAGTCTGATTCATCTGTACCAGAGAACTTTTGTCTGTAAAGCCAAGAGGGAATCTAGAGGACCTGAAATTTTCTGACCAAGCATCATCACCATGTTACCTAAATGATTTTTAAACCATAAATTTAATTCTAGCCAATTCTCCTCATCCAGAAAATGGGATAACAACACCTCCCATGCAAGATTGTTTTGGGAGATTAATTAAAATAATGACTCAAAAGTACGTGTGAGCCCAAGAAGTGCTGAGCAGTATGGGGCAGCAGCCACATAGCTGGGGGGGTGGTGCCTGGGTGACCCTGCCCATGGTAGGCAGCACAGTGTGAGTAGATAGGGTGGCCTCCCCTGGGCCTCTTGTCTTCTAGTTTTTTCTCTGGTTATAAAAATAGCATGTGCTCTTGGTAAAAAAAAAAAAAGTTGAAAGGAACAGAGATCTAGAAATGAGAAAACACCCATAATCCTGTCATCTGGAGTTAGGATAACATGTTAGCGTGTTTCCTCCTAGGTTCTCGGGCTTGGGGATTGTTTTTGTTCCATTTTGTTTTGCTTTTTTACTTGTAGACAGTTGAAATATTCCTAGCAAAGCAATCCAGTTCCCAGTTATTTGTTTTGCCTTTTAGTACATTGTAAGCATTTTTCACATCATATAAAAACTCTCCTTACACATCATTTATAATGGCTGCATATATGCCATTGGGGGACCTCAGTGGTTCTCAGCCCTGGCTGTGGATCAGAATCATCTGTGGGGCTTTTAAAACGGCAAATGTCTGAGCCTCACTTACAGAGATTTTTATCAAGTTCCCATCATCTGAAATCAATGCCGAGGCCCACCACATTGTCCTAATACTGGGCCTTTTGATTGTCAGTAACGTTTCACCATTTTAAACCACACTGTAGTGAACATCTTTACATAAATCTTCATGCATGGTCCAAATTATTTCCTTAGGCAGAATCCCTGGCGTGGATTTACTGTGTCAAAGAATCTGACTACATTTAAGGCCTTGATTCGTAAGGTGAGGGAGAAAGCTGGTGACCAGGAACAGGGGCAGCCTGGAGGGGAGAGCCTCTGAGGCTGATTGCAGGGCAGGGCCCGAGCAGCAGTGCAGTGTGGGGAACAGCCTGAGGCTGAGGGCGAAGAGAGCCTGCGGGGTGAAGGGTGAAGAGAGCCTGCGGGGTGAAGGCCGAGAGAAGTGTGCCTGTGTGCAGAGGGCACAGCGGTGTGACTAGCTTTGCAGCATGCCCAGAGTGTTCACCACACTGCTGTGGTGTGCTGGCTTCCCACCCACAGCCAGCAGATGCAGTCATGGGACTCCTGTTACTGCAAAGTCACAGAGTTTGGGTTTTTTAAAACATGAAACATGACAGACTTGCAGTGCTCCTTTCTCCTCTGCTCCCGGAACAGCTTGGAGAACTGCTCCTGCTGAGCCCCTCGAGGCCCTGCCTGGCTCTGTGGGGAGGGGTGAGCCCCACTCTGAGAGGCAGAGAAGAGCAACTACTCCTCCACAGCCCAGAGCTCATTTGAGATTAACTCCTTGGTCCTTTGTTTTTTCTTTTCTACTGGAAAAAATTCAAAATCAGCTGGCTGGGGAGTCTTGAGCTTGGTCCTCTTTCCCCTGCTGGGAGGGAAGAGGGAAGCAGGCTCCTTGCTGAGGTCCAGCCACATGCCAGAGCTGGGCTGCTTGTCTCCTTCCATGCCCTCTGCTGTGCGCCTGTCCCAGGGCAGGAGAGCCTGTGTTGGCTCACTGGTGGTGTCTCTCTTCGGGGCCAGGTGAATTATTTCAAAGGGGTCTCCCAAGGATCAGAAAGCGAGACTCCAACAGTGTCCAGCTGCAGCCAAGTCTCCTACCTGCTCAAGCAGCCCATAGGGTGGGAGCTCTGTTCATCTCGGAGTGCTTCGCATCCATGATCTCAGTAAATTCTCCATGACGGCCCCTTTCTGTCCATTCTACAGATGGAGGATAAAGGCTGAGATTGCTGGTGATTTCCTGGGAGGTAG